ATTAGTTTTGTGGATCCTGGTGAAAACTTTTGTTTTCAAATTGTGTGTTGATTCATAAGCACACAAGAAATTTTAAAAATGAAAGAATAATTAACCGATGTAGTGGATTCATATGTAATAGCATACTGTAAGTGCTTGAAGTTGCTTCAGTAACAGCTGTCACATTGATCAGGGGACTGCTTTTATACCGCGTGCCAAAAGGTGCTTAACCAGTTATGCTGCCAATTTCTCCATCTACTAAAACAACAGGCCATCACTGTCAGATCATTGGCAGGCAAAACATCACCACAGCCAGAAATCATGAGTCAGAAGAGAACATCTAAAACATGAGGCCTCACCCACCATATGTTCCTGTGCTGCTGGGTTTGATCAAAAACACGTCCTCTTACCTGCAAGTTTCTTGCTGATGTTACGTGCAGGCAGTTGGCTTGTGGTCCCAGTCTAGAGGAGGAGAAATGGAAAAGACTCAACAGGCTTGCAAGTATGCACCCTTGTGCATTAAAGGCATCTCTATTCTGTGCCCTCTTTCCACTGTGGGAAGTTTCAGTGAGTAATTCCAAAACAGTGGACGTTTTAGAGAAGACTGAGTCACTGTGAACTGACTGCAGAGTAACACAAGTAGCTGAAGTCAGCTGTCTGTCAGCTGAAGATAAGCACACATTAGCTTCTTTGCAGTTCTAGGACCTTTCAAAAATAATTAAAGACAAGTGTAGCTAATATTATATTATATATAGCAACACACAGTCTGACACCTCTGAACACAGTGAAGGTCCAATTTAAAATAGTGCCTGATCCACTCACTTGCAGACTGTCCATTGGTGGTATCTCCATGACAAAGTTATCAGGAAAGAGGCCATGGCGTCCGTTTATCTCTCCCTCCCACCAGCCTTCATCTTCTGTTTCCTTCAGATGGAGATTAAAGAGTCACATTACAAACTCAAACATACCACCGTCCTTTGGGATGTGAAATGGCTGCACAAGAGGTTAGCAAACGGTCAAGCGAAACATGGATGCCTTGTTATCAATTTGTCGAGGAAGCCATCTCAGAGATAAAAGTCAGGACACTGCCAGATTTGTGTCACTTTAACTTGTCTTGTGTACATGATTTCTCTGAAAACGACACAACTGGTTTTGCAGGATTGAAAATTGTATGACACACCTGCAGCTGCTTTTGTAAGAAATGAAGTCGCACCTGGAGGAGTCTGATGCTGTCAACAGCATGACATCATGAGAAAAACATGACATGTTGGAAAATATCAACCAAATGTGCTCGAACCTTCCTTAGTAGCACAACAATGTCTCCCTTTTTCAGATCCAACTCGTCCCCTGCCTTGGCCTTGTAGTCAAACATGACTTGGCAGCACTCAACCACTGAGGAGACACAGTAGAAGAGATAACATGAACCATAACAACCTTATGAACCGTAGCATTGTTTTGTGTGATGGGAAAAGAAGACTTCACCAATGATGACTAATCTTATCAGCCTTGTATGCAACTGTCACATGACTAACAAATAGTCGAAAGTTGGAAGTTGGTTATGATGAACTGGAGATAAAGGTTTTAAACCCCTGATCGTTGATGGATACTCAAATCTTCTCTTCAGTGATTAATCAAGACTGGTAACTTGTACTTGAAGTATTTACTCCACCCATTACCATTCAGGTAAAAGTGTGGAAAATACCATGAGTAACATGTCGACAAGAAATAAATAAACCTGTTTGGTTGCCTCTGTTTGGGTTAGTTTAGTTCATAACTCCTCTATAAGACTATTTGTATTTGAGTAATTTTCACTTAAGAATAAATTTACATTTACCTTTTTTGCCTTTCTTCCTCAGACTTGCTTTTTGAGTTATCTTCATGGGGAGAAAAACATAATTAACACAATTAAGTAAAAGGGAGATGTGTCTTTCTAGAAAGTTATTTCCGCGGTACATACCTCCTTAGTGAACACTGCATCTGTGAGTTTGGGTCTTGACTTGCCCTCATTGTGCTTGCTGTCTGCAAAAGGAGTAGAGATAATGAAGAATTCAGCAGTTTCTTTAATCTTTACATTTAATTGGAAAAAATGGCTTTACCAACCTTTGGGGGAAACAAAGATTTCTTTGACAAAATTTGAAGGAAATGCTCCCACTTTGCCATTTTTTACCCCCATCCACCATCCATCTTCAATCTGTCAGAGAGATAGCGCATCGAAAATTAATACAGAGCACATAGAAAGTTAATACATGAGAGAAATCTTTAAAGACAAAATAAGCATTGTATGTTACACAAAACACTGTCATCCTATATACATTCCAGAGATAACATCCATTTGTTAGATCTCTGATTACTTGAACAAGTAAACCTACAGTTTGTTGGAGAAAAGTTTGTGAGCCTGGTGGATAAATACAAAGAAAGTGTTGTACCCAAAACTATTTGCTCAGGGAAGCTTGGCTGTGAAAACACCAACACCCCCAATTTACATATAATAGTCAGGTTTTGGCCATTGAGCAGCTTCAGGAAAATTCCTTTGCTTCGGGCAAATCTACCGTCTGCAGCTACGACTCGTTAGCAGAACTAGCTGAGTCACTGTTTCGGTTACATGAGTTCAAAAATGAAAGTTTGAGCAGCAATTAGCGACTATACCTCTTTTAGGATCTCAATAGTCTCGCCAACAACCAGCTCCAGCTCATCTTCATTCACGGCGCTGTAGGCAAACACCGCCTCACATTTCCTTGTCTGTTTCATCCTCTTTGCTGAAAATACAAAGATACACCAGCCCCATCAATAGACACAAGAAAAGTTCATAATCTTCTGGTAATGCTGATGGAGAAAATAGAGCTTAGTCAAGTCTCAGCAGGATAGAAATCAAAGCACTTAGTGTTTATTGACATTTCTATCATGTCTAATCCATCAAAGGCCCTGTGTTTGTCCTGATACACTCTATTTTATTGTTAGACTTTGTGTGGTGAGGATGTGGTAAACACATATTTGCAGTCAGCTTGCTTGTTATAGTGTTGTTGTGCATGAACCACACTGACCCCAATGTTAAAACGCTAAGTGTGATACAGAAAAGCCACAACCTGTTATAAATACATTTGTCAGATATTTAAATTTACTATTACTATTTATGATTCAACTACAAAATATCAAGCCTCGATTACTTTTACTTGTCGTAAGAGTTAAATAACATCTTAAAATTCTAAATACATC